GCGGAATGAGTCCACAGTGGTGATGAGAGTGTCAGTCAGCATTATGGGGGGAGTCGGATTCTCCTGGGCGTTCAGCACCAGGTTGTTGTGGCTGCACCAGGACACCAGACGTGCAGCCTCCATCCTGTAGGCAGACTCATACCCCGTCCGAGATGAGTCCGATAACGGTGGTGTCATCAGCAAACTCAATTAGCTTGACAGACTGGTGGGTGGAGGGTACAGTAGTTGGTGTACAGGGAGAAGAGCATGGAAGAAAGAACACAGGCGTGGGGGTACTGATGGTCCGGGAGTCCGAGACATTCTTCCCCAGCCTCATATGCTGCTTCCTGTCTGTCAGGAAGTCAGTGATTCACCAACAGATGGGATCAGGCACATTCATGTGGGAAAGTTTGCCTTGGAGATTGTCTGGGAGGATGGTGTTGAAGGCAAAGCTGAAGTCCACAGACATGATTCTGGCGTAGGTTCCCAGGGGAGTCCAGATGCTGCTGAATGACGTGGTGGAGGTCTGAAGGCTTGGGGAATAAGTGTCCAAAGTGTCTCTATTGTTGGGGCCGTTGGAGGTGTGAAGGCTGCTTGATGGCTCGTCAAAACGGCAGTAAAAGACGTTAAGGGTGTTGGCCAAGAGCAAGTCCTCAGTGGAGTGGAGGGTCTTAGGCTTGTAGTTGGTGATATTCCTAAAACTTTTCCAAACAGAGGCCGAGTCGTTCTCTGAGATCTGCTGCTGCATCTTCTCAGAGTGCTGATGTTTAGGAGTGCCCACGTCTTTACTCAAGTTATACTTGGCCTCTCTGTAGCAGTCCCTGACTTTGCGTCTGAATGCCTTTCTCTTTTCTAGCCACAGCTGTTTGAGTTTAGGAGTAAACCAGGGTTTGCCATTGTTATAACTCACCCTGGTGCGTGATGGCACAATGCTGTCCTCGCAGAAGTGGACATAGGAGGTGACAGTGTCCCTAAACCCATCCAAACTGTTAGAAGCAGCCAAAAATCTGTAGTAAATCCATTGCAGATGCGACAAATACTGGAAGAAAACAAACAGTGTTTTAGTTCTGTAGTTAAGAAGCTCTTCTCTGAAGAATATCCAGAGTGTCCAGACACACAAATTATGCACAAAAACAAGACAGATGTAATACACTGAAACACCAGGGCATCCATTTGCAGTGCGTTACATCTTGGATGTGATGTTGTCATTACTTACTTTATGAATGTATTTAAGTGTTTTAGTCTGACTTTGTATTTTGTTTTTCCTTCTCAAATAATTGAGTACAAATGTCATAGTTACATTTTTTTGAAGACCAATTTATTACTCGAGGTGAACTTTCCTCCAACAGGAAGTCCTTCAGCCCATGCAGCTTCATCACTTTCATCAAAAGGTAAGAATTCATTAATTGGTCTCAGGACGTGCTGATAGGGCCGTTACACATTAAGCCTGATGTGACTAATCAGAGCTCTGGTTTCTCTGTAGTTCTGCAGTATGACTAAAGTCTGAGCTCTATTGAATGAACACCTGGTTGGATTAGTTCACTAGATCGCTCGATGGTGACAGAGCTTTAAATGACGTGTGAGGATGGTTCATATTCAATTCAATTTTATTTATACAGCTCCAAATCCCAACAACAGTCGCCTCAAGGTGCTTTATATTGTAATATGACCTTACAGTAATAAATACTACAGTAATAAATACAGAGAAAAACCTGAAAACTGAAGGCTCTCAAAATGGATTTTGAATTCAATTTTGGATTTAACAGGAAGCCAATGAAGGGAAGCCAATACAGGAGAAATCTGCTGTCTCTTTCTAGTCCCTGTCAGGACTCTTGCTGCAGCATTTTGGATTAACTGAAGGCTTTTCAGGGAGTTTTTTGGACAGCCTGATAATAATGAATTGCAGTAGTCCAGCCTGGAAGTAATAAATGCATGAGTTAGTTTTCAGCGTCACTCTGAGACAGGATATTTCTAATTTTAGAGATGTTGCGCAAATGGAAGAACGCAGTCTTACATATTTGTTTAATATGTGTGTTGAAGGACATGTCCTGGTCAAAAATGACTCCAAGGTTCCTCACAGTGTTACTGGAGGCCAAGGTAATGCCATCCAGAGCAAGAATCTGGTTAGATACCATATTTGTAAGATTTTCAGGGCCGAGTACCATAACCTCAGTTTGATCTGAATTAAGAAGCAGAAAGTTAGCGGCCATCCAGGTCTTTATGTTTTTAAGACATTCCTGCAGTTTAACTAAATGGTGTGTGTCTTATCTGGCTTCATGGATAGATAGAGCTGGGTGTCATCTGCATAGCAGTGTAAATGTATGCTATGTCTTCTAATGATGCTGCCTAAGGGAAGCATGTATAATGTAAACAGAATTGGTCCTAGCACTGAACCCTGTGGAACTCCATAATTAACCTCAGTGTGTGAAGAGGACTCTCCATTTACATGTACCAATTGGAGTCTATTAGATAGATATGATACAAACCACTGCAGCACAGTATCTGTAATACCTACAGTGTGCTCTGATCTCTCTAATAGAATACCGCAGCGATTCCTTTCACCTGCCACTAGCAACCAGGCTAACTTGGCATGCTAATGTTACAGCTGCATCTTCGGGCTAAAACATATTAAAAAAAAACTTAAATTAGCAAACTCCGCCCTCTACAAAACTTATGCCCAACAAGTTTGTTAACAACAGACGAAAATGCAGCAAGTCAGCTATGTTCCAAATTGCAGCTTAAGGTCTTAATAAATTTTCATTACCTGAGAGCAACGTGGCAGTGACTTATCTCCAGCTATGCTGACATACATTCAAAAGGGCTGTTGAGGAGGGGGGGTCATCATATACATATACACACATACACAAAGTCTTGAATTTTACAGTGTTTTTTTATCGGAAAAAATAAGTTAAATTAAATCTCTGTCCAGTACCTGTGCAACAGATGGTAATGATGGCTCAATACAACCATTCTATAAAACAACAGATACAGGTATATACATAAACAGAGAACTGGGGATACTCTTCCCTAACTACAAAAATATCCATAACAACAACACTGCTGTACACATGGTTGTATTTGAAGGTGCAATGGTTCGCAGCCAGTACCATCCCCACGCTTGATTTCGAGGTGTCACTGTTATTATTGTCAAGAATCCAACATTTAATGAATCAACATTTAATTAAACAGAGCAGGTTTGGTGGAATTCAAAAGTATAACTCATATGCTACACAAACATCTAATGAGATTTAAGCAAAAGTTATTAAGATGCAAATAAATGGACATATAAGTTGTTGGCAATATATAGTAGACTAATCATCTCTGTTTTTAATCCAGAAACTCTTCAAAGGTGTCAACTTAAACTCAAGTCTGTCTTGAAGAATGAGTTCGAGTGTGTGTTTGAGGGGATCGCTAAAGCAGGAAACACAACCCTTCTGAATCAGATCTACACAGAGCTCTACATCACAGAGGGAGGGACTGCAGAGGT